CTTCTGCTAGCTAGCGAACATTTTAACAGGCGGAATTTCAGTAAGCTGAGAGTTTGGAACGATCTAAAGTGTGGTATTTAACGAAACAATAACTCTTTTAAAGACAATAAACTCAGAGCCTTCAAAAATTTTCTGCAATATTCGGTTTTGAAAGATGTGCGCCACGCAATAGTGCAGAAATGGCTTCATTGGCGTTCACGAGAGTCATGGTTGTAGGTGGGTCGCTATAACGATTATTTGTGATATGGGAAAGCTCATGTGAGCCAGTGAAACATCAGCCGAAGTATACAATAGAAAGAGAGAGGATGGAAAGTTGGAAAGTGGCACGACAAGGGGGTACGGAGATAATCACAAAAAAAAGGAAAATTGAGCTGTGATACGTTGTTAGAGAGGAAATGAAACAAAATGACTCGCGATAAAACAGGAGAGAGTGGGGGAGGAAGTGTCAGGTTGCCTTCATAGTTGTTGTCGGCGTTTAACACGTTGACGACAACGCGGGTTTTTACTTTTCGGCCTCGTGGGACACGCGCGCTTTCTTGAACGCCACAAGCGCGGTACGCATACAATTCAAGCCGTCCCACGAAGCGCTTTTCTGGAGATTGGATCGAAAAACCTGGTTTAGAGAGCGATTGTGAAGTAAGTCAATTATTTACTATGGAAAAATCTGGGCTGGCCAACTCTCTTTGCACCAGGGCCAGGAATTTGTCTGTAACCAATTTTTTTCATAAAAAACGCAAATCGTGCTTTCTATAGGATTCAGAATCCTTCACCTTATATTTTTTCATCATTATCAATGTTGTAATTGTCTGTATTTGTTGGCAAAGAGTTAAACAGCAAACCAATCCAAAGTTGAGGAGCAAACCAATTCAGGCTGTCGCACCTGCTCGTTGTTGGGAGGGGGGGGGGAGAGGGGTCGTATTTGCTTTCTGGCCTTCTGGGAGAAGTGGTTGACTTTCGTGATTTTCCTGTTTCATGTGTACTATATAGCCATCCCCCCGCTCGGCAGCAAACCTTTTGGGGAAGAAAAGGGAAGTTTACGAGAGATTCTGGAAAAAGTGAGTATTTTCTCGCTGCTTTTCCCGTTTCATATGTGCTATTTACCTATCTACCCTACTTACACCCCTCCCCCCCTCCCTCCGCTTGACAGCTCAATGAGGAGGACAGAGGGCCAGAGGGAGGGGGTCGCACCAACCTTCAAGAAAAAGGGAGGGGTCTTACGAACTCGACCAAAATCTCCAACCAATAATGCGCCCTGTTGGGCAACTAGGATGTCCCTAATCAGTTTGTCAGGATTCTTACTGTTAGTGAAATCCACATTAACTTCACGATTAGGCGGGAAAGTTCTGTCATGTTTTGTCATATCAGGCTTTCTTAGAGAGGCGCATAAGATCAGAATTCTTTAGCAATGTTACTGCGGGGTTCTTGCCAGTTTTTGAGCACCTCATGGATGCCATCGCTTCACAATGCAGGCCGGCGCGACGCAAAGTTGGACATCATCTCAATTTTGACTTGGGCTCGAGTCGTGGAGGTTTTCTCGTCCATATAACGGTTAGTGCGGGAGGCAACTAGCAGTGAAAGAAGCAAAATCTGGGCTACATCGTTGCACGGGGAGAGTCCATCATCCAGCTCTATTGCATGAGCTTCGGCTCCACCATTTTCGGACGGAGTGCTCTATTGCACTATGCACTATTATGCTGAAGGCGGGTGCTGACAAATTTTTCCCTCTTATCGATTAGCTTCAGATCTCGGAGCTGATTTGTGTAGGGGTTGATCAAAGAGGCAGCTATTTCATGCAGCACTTTTACTACCCGCCCTTTTACCCCTCAATCTGAGTTCACTGGTTACCCAAACCTCACTTCGTCATCAAAACTGTAGGCTCCCGCTTGAAGCATTAGCGTCGTGGAAGGTTGTCCGATAATTGAGGGCATCGTCCTTATTCAGCTCCATTATTTTGGCATCTGCAGCTGTCATGCTGGCGTCAGGGTGGTGGAAGAAAGAGTTTGAGGAAGCGCTTGGAGGGGTCGGTGCCGATGGTAGCGGATAAAATCCTTGTCCATATTGCAGAAGAAGAAGAAGCAGGAGTCAAGCGAGTGGTACTAATAGAAAGATCATTCTATGAAGTATAAATGCTCAAACATCTTCAAGTAATAGCCAAGTATTTTGAGTTGAAAAAAGTATGACCGAACTTCCCCGCCAACCTAATATTCCACCATTCCACAAGGAGATCATCGTCGATGTGAAAGGGACGGGCAGGAAGATGTTCGACGAGGTGCCCTTCGCCCTTCATCGCCCAAACTCTTTAGAACCGCTCGGCCTCGACTGAAATGGGAACACAAGGGAATGAAGAGCGACGGCTGGCAACCACACATTTCCACTTT